TATGATGGTCATCAACAGTAAGGAGTACCAGCACCATTTTTGTTGCTGGCCTTGGCAGCCATTTTGTGTTGCCCATGGCAGCCATTTTCTGCTGGCATCCATGGTACTTTTATGAAGATACGAGCACCAGCACCTCATTTTTACACACACACCACACAAAAATGCCAAGTAGAGGTCAGTGGGTAGCAGGACTAATCCTGTACATAATGCAGGCTTCACCAACCTGATGTCTTCAGATGTTTTAGATTAGAGTGTTTATCAACCCCAGCCAGCACAGCTGTGATAGCTGGAGCTGAGGTTGACCCAAAATATCTGGCAAAAGCTTCTCTAAGAGATAGTAATTGCATATGAAACAATTCAAAATAGAGATTAAAAAACAACACAACTACTGCTTTGATAAAAGTCTCAGTTCTCTTATTATCCACTCAATGCCAAAAAGTCTATTATTTATTGTAGCCTCAGTAAGTTACTCCTTTCAGTATTCTCAAGTTGTATTTAGTTTGAAGTTGCTTAAATCTGTGTGCTCACCCACACCTCATTTGCTGTTTCTTATTAGCAGAGACTTTGCTGCTTTTTAAGCTGTACACTGCAGTGTTCATAATGCAGAGGTGTTGAGACTGGCCCAAACTGTAAAGGATTACATTTTGTACCTGACAATGAGAGCCAGCAAGTTCTAAAATGAGAAAACACCAGGAAATAATTTTCTATGCAGGAATAAAGGGTCACAGAGGGACTTGGTTATACTAAACCCAAGTGAAATCCTTGGGACCACTTTGGGGTATGGTACTTTAATTAATAAAAATCCAAATACCACTGGATCATAATTGGAAAGTCTATAATAACCTGCAGAGAGGAGTGGAAAAAACCTAATTTTTGAAAGGAATATCAAGGGGGATGATGGTGTAATTGCTGGCAACACCCTCTTATTGCAGACTTTCCGCTCATCTCTACTGCTTGCCTGAATATAAAAGAGTTCATTACTGAAAAGGCTGTCAATTTTAACTTGTATCTATTAGGCCATGTCTAAAGGGAGAGAGGGATTCTTGCTCTTTTGGATAACACAGGCATTAACATTCTCCCATTTTATAGGAGGATGTGCATTTAAGGGGGAACTGAGTGGACAACTCTGGCAAAGTATTTAATGGGGAATAAGAACTGCTAAATATTCAATACCTGGCTTTTTGGCAATGCATGTGATCACAGGAAGAAAAGGGGGAGGGAATCTCAACAGCTAAAACATGTAATGGGAACTGAAAGTTGGGACTGGGGACAAGAGAAAGATCAGTAGAAGAAACTAGTTTCAGCCATGAAATAAGCATAATTGATAGGATTTCTCAGTGCACCCAGCCCTCTAGGCAAAAATAAATTAATAAAAATGACAAATTGGTTGTTCTATAAGCCCTCAGAATTGTAAATTATATATAACTTGGACTTGCCAACAACTAACATTCTGGACAAGAGTAGGGAATATTTTTCATCCTGAGGACTGGATCCAGAACTGACCTTTTTAGGGACCTCCAGGGACCTTTTTAGATTGGTGGATGGGGCGACCCACCTGTCCATCACTTGGTGGCATTATGATGTCAGTTGATTATTATTATCTTTTTAAAAAGAAAAACAAAACATTTTATTGCTTTTCCACAATAAAAGAGGGACGCTGTTAGCGCTGATCAGTTTATTGGTGGTTGGCAGTGAACTCTTACTCTGTCCATTTGCAGATACAGTTTGGATTCAAACCGTGCCTGCAAATGGATATATTTTTTCCAACACAGAGCAACAAAGCAGCATTCAAAGCTGGTCTGCAGAAGGAAAATGTCCATTTGCAAGCACAGTTTGAACCTAAACCATACTTGAAGGTGGGCAGCTTCAGAGAGGTTTGTTGTCATCACCAATCATCTTCAAATATCTCAAGGGCTGTCACATGGAAGATGGAACAAACTTGCTTTCTCCTGCTCTGGAGGGTAGAACTCGAACCAATAGAATCAAGTTACAAGAAAGGAGATTCCAACTAAACATCAGGAAGAACTTCATGACAGTAAGAACTGTTCAACAGTGGAACAGTCTCCTTTAGGCAGAGCTGCAGCTGGGAGGGGGACCTAGCTGGGTTTTTTGCCCCGGGTGAGGCCTCCAGAGGGGCACCATTGAGGCTCCCAGCCTTTATGTGTGCAAATGCACTTGAGTTTTCTTTGACCTTGGTGGATTAAAGCCTCATTTCACCCCTGCTTTGGGAGGTTGTGGACTCTCCTTCCTTGGAGGTTTTTAAGCAGAGGTTGGGTGGCCACCTGTCATGTATGATCTCGTTGAGATTCCTGCATTGCAGGAGGTTGGATTAGATTACCCTTGGGGTCCCTTAAAACTCTACAACTCTATGATAGGTGCTGTCAGCAAGCCCTGCTTCCCAAGAAATAATTGGGAGTGTGCTTTAGGCACCCATTTGTTCTTTTGCAGCTGCATCTTTACCTGACTGAAGTCACACCTGATGTTAGGTGTGGGGCTGGTGGGCATTTGGAAAAACTGTGCTGCTAATTAGGCCTGTGGGCCAGAGCTTTCCCACTGCTGCTCTAAGAGTTCAGTAATGTCTCCCATGCTGCCCAACACCACGAAAACACTGGGAAAGGTTGCCAGGGGATAGGAAGTTTAGTGGCATCGGTATGCTGATGAAACTCAGCTCTGTTTTTCCTTTTCATCAAATCCAGCTGAAGCACTGCAGTGCTTCAATGCTCACCTGCAATCAGTGGTGAACTGGATGAAGAGGAATAAAGTTAAGATCAATCCAGATAAAATGAAACTGATTGTAGAGGGGAATAAACTGAATTGGCTGCCTAGGGATATGCCTGTTGTGAACAGAGTCAGACTCTCCTGTAAAGACCAGTTTTGCAGGCTGGGGGTGCCTGGAGTCCCAGGTGGCAGGTGGCACCCAGAGTGCCTGTTATCAAGTTTGGCTAACATGCTGGTTTTGCCTGCTGCTAGAGGATAGAGGGTAAGGCACTGTCATTCATGCTTGGACTTATTTTGTATCAGTCTATTATGGCACACTCTGTGTGGGGCCCATTTGGAAGACAGTTTGGAAACTTCAACTAATATAGAACATGGTAGGCCGCCTGTTTACAGGTGCAGATTGGTATTCATATTTATCACCTGTTTTGAAGAACATAATACAAAGAGGTTGATGACCAAATACCCATCTTGCACAGGCTGCAAATTTGTTTCTGGGAGAAGTAAAAGCAGTAGCATAGCTAGCCTGGGGAGGGAGAAGCACAGGGGTCTGTACTGTGGCATGGTGGGTGCTGCGTAAAAGTGTTCATTCCTACCTTTAAAGCCCTAAATGGATTATCTTAGGCAGTGCTTTTTTTCTTTAAAAAGTGTTTAGGGGTATTCTCATTTTAACTCAAGAAAATCACCATTTTATACTTCAAATGGGGGGGGGGCGGTTTACAGTAAATATAAAGAAACTGACCAATCACCGTGCTAGATTCCAACTCCTACTTCACACATTAAACGCTCGCTTCCTCCTGAGACTCAGGAAACACCATGACAGGAAATGAGGCCACCATCGGGGGTAGCAATGAAACTGACGATTCACCATGCTAGAGAAGAAACTATTTTTTTAAAAAAAAAAGTTTCTTCTCCCATTAGATTCACAAAATGTTTACGAGTATGCATACCCCTGCGCCCCCCCCCCGAAAAAGCACTCATCCTAGGAAAGTCTCCTCCCATATGACCCTCTCCCCAGTGCTTAAGATTTTCTCAGAAGGCCTTTCTCTGTATTCTATCTCATGGAGAGACTACAGAAATCTCCACCAGAAACAGACATTTTCTGCAGCAGCTCCAAGATTACGGAATTCTGTTTCAAGCGCAATTTGGATAGCCTCTTGTGCAAACAAGTGAAATGCTTTCCGTATCAGTTGGTTTGGGGGGCTTTAATTTCTGTTTTGCACTTCTTTGGTTTCTTTTTAGCTTCACTTCCGCTCACTGTCATTGCTTTTTGGGGTTCGGATCTTAAAAGAAGAAGTTTGTATTGTATTATTTTAGTGTTGTAAACCACTATGACACTTGAATGAATAGTGCCCTGTTAAATATTTATGTAAACAATATAATGTGGGAAGTGGCCATAAGACAAGTTGGAATAAGATTAACAAATGCTTGCGCTGCACTGAAGGAAATTCAGGACTTTTGTTCCTGGACCACTTACGTTATACAGAAAGCAAAGCACTCTGTCGTAAGCAAAGGGGGTGACAGTGGAACTCAAGAGGTGAGGCCAATGCTTAAAGATGGGCTAAAAGCCCCTTCTCTGAAATGGTCCCCTAAATATCTCTCTGCCATATCCATTGTTTTGCACAGCAGCTCCTGTAGAACACTGCATGGTGTATATGGCATGGCAAGGAGAGGTGATGTCCACAGGCAACATCCAGGCAGCAAATATTGTCTTCTAACAGCACGTAGTTAAACTGTAGAATTTGCTCCTGCAAGAAGTATTGATGGCCACCAACTTGCATGGCTTTATAACAGGATTAGACAAACTGATTGAGGATAAGGCTATCAGTGGCTAGCAGCTACAATGACTATGTTCTATTTCCACTGTCAGAGTCAATCTGCTTCTGGCTGCCGGTTGCAGGGAAATTACAAGCAGGGAGAGTACTGTTGTGTTCAACTCCTCCTTTGGGGCTTCCCATAAGCATCTGGTTGAGATCAGGTTGCTGGGTCATGGGCCTGAGCCAGCAGGCTTTTCTTATGTTCTATGCAGTCCCAAGCTGCTGCTATGTGGAAACAAACCTGCACAGCACTTGCTAAGGGGAGAGTGAGTAAAATATTTTCTGCAGTGGGGGAACTCCATGGACCATAAGTTTTCCACTGCCAGCATATTGCAGTGCAGTTCATCCTTAAGGAGAACGGTATAAAGAAGGAATTTGGTGGCCACATGGGTGGAAGTGGAAGAAAAGAGGTTGTTGGTTGTGATTACCCTTGTTTTAATTTGCTTTGTACCAATCTTTTACTTGTAGCTCCGGTTGTCATGGCTCCTCCAAGGCATCTTTCTTGGAGATGTTTCCCTGGTCCTTGTCGAGAACAAGACTGGGAAGGAACAGAGCAGGAAACTCTGGCACTTGGAAAATAGAAAAGGATTGGGGGTGTGGCAGAAGATGCTCAGGCCTCTCACGGATGTATCAGACAGGTAGGAGACATCATGCTTCTTTTTCATTCTTTGCTTCTTTCAATTTAATGGATGTCTGGATTTCTTGAGAGAAGGACAGAAAATCGCCCATATTGGGGCAACCAACAAGAGCCAAACCTCCTTCTCAATTTTAACTTGCTTTTAACTTATGGGCAGACCAGCCACCACATATTTCTTTTCTGGGGGAGGTATTGAAAGCCTGAGCCAGCTGAACACATCCCTTTTCTCCTCACTGGCTTTCACCAACCATTGTGTGCAAAGCATTAACTTTCAGCTGGTAACTTAAACACTAGTCCCGTCATGTCTTGCACTTCCACGTGATGACTAAGAAAGACTGCTTGCGAAGCAGTCAGCAAGGCCTAGATTCCTACTCTAGACATTCTAGGAGAAAATGTGTCATTCATTGGTGCACCGGAAGAGGAATGCAGGGTAGTGCAGCTCTGGGAAGTTGCAGAGTGAAGGAAATAATAAAGCAGGGCTGTATGGAGGGGGGGGTTTTATAGAGTTCCTACTTTGCGCTAGCAGTTTAAAACTAAATGATGACATTTTAGTTGGCTCATGATTTATTTGTTAAAGCTCAGTGTGTTTTGTACGGGGAACCTATGCAGGCAAAAGCACCCATGCATTCAGTGGAACATACTTACAGGAAACGAGGAAATGACTGTAGTCAGCTGTGTTACTTCTATAGATACAGGGTGGGATTCACCAAATTGGCACTGTCAGCAGAAGCCCTGTGCTTGTGCATTGGGGATTTTCCCCCTCTCTTTCCTCCTGCACCTACTGCGCCCCCTAAAATTGTCTAGTGGGAGTCAAGAGAATCCACAGAACAGCATGTTTTGGGAGGAGGTGGATCTTTCCATCTGGTAAACTGAAATTCTTGCACTGACATAACATTTGCATTAGCACAAAAATGAATTCTTCCTATATGTTCAGCACAACTCCCTGTATTTATGGGCTGTGCTGGAGGTCATGGCAAAAGCTTGTAGGCATGGAAGCTGTCATGATGTGCTTCGGCACTCCAGAGTGAACCACTACACTGCTGGTAATATGTACTTTATTTGCACATTTCCAAGCAGAGTATAAATGAGGACATAAAAGATACCCTCCAGGCAGTGGCATAGTGTGGGGGTAGCCTCAGGAGTGATTGCCCCGGGCACAAAATTGTTAAGGGTTAGAGAAAAAGAATCTAAAGGAGGAAGATTACCAATGACCTTCTTCCAACTAGTGGAGAACTTCAATCTACAGGATGTATGGAGACTTAAACACCCAAATGAGAAAGAATTTACTCACTTCCCCGATGCAAAATAGTCAGCAGGGAGAATTGATGCAATATGGATGTCAAGTAACCTAATATTGAAAACAAAAAAAGCAGAAATCCAACTAAGACTGATCTTGGACCACAATCCAGTCACCTTAGAGCTGAGAAACAGTAGAAAATTAAGATGGAGATGGAGAATGAATGAAAATATTTTCAACAATAAAAAAAATTAAAAGCACAAGAGGCCTTAAAATAATTTTGTGAAATAAATATAAAAGGGGAAACTGACATCAAAGTAATATGGGATGCTAGCAAGGCTGTTATGAGAGGTTTATGTATCCAACAAAGTGCCATCCCGAAGAAAATTAGAGAAAACAAAATGGAGCAAATTAGGAAAGAGATAAGTACAAATGAGAAAGGCTGAAAAACCCAAAAAACGAGACCGCAGAACAAAATATCAAAATGTTGCGAACCCAGTTCTCCATATTTTTAAACCATGAAATTGAACATAAATTAAAATGGCTAAAACAAAAGTTTTGAATTTGCTAACAAATCAGATAGAATGCTGGCTTGACAATGAAAGAAGAAACAAAAAGAAAAGATGATAGGAAAACTCATAGAAGGAGGGGAAACAATTGATGAACCCAAGGAAATAAGCAAAAGTTTTCCAAAATATTTTAAAGATATCTACCAAGCAGGTAAGGAAGATGATGAGAAAATAGAAAAATACTTAAGTCAATTTAAATTTTTATTCCATTTTTTCCTTTTTTCCTTTGTTGGGGGTGGGTGGGTGGGATGGATAGTTGGTTGGGGATTAATTTTAGTATAATTGTTCTGTTCCTTTTTTTTGTTGTTGTTTTATTGGTTCTGTATAGTTTGTGTTTTGTTTTTAAGGGGCGGGATCAGGGCTGCCTGGGAGTGGGTCCCCAGCCAACACGATGGCTGGGACAAGTTCCACAGGGGGGGAAGCACTGGGACATCCGATCTCGGTGATCATGGGCAGGAGGCGGAGTTACGCTAAGACCAGACCATGTCATTACCGAGGAGGCAGGTTTAGTCGTTGTTTGAAGACTATCCCTGCCTCCGGGTCTGGCCTTGACCGGATGGATACTGGAATCAACAGGGGAAACCCACATGACCTGAAAGTGTTGCTGTGCAATGCCAGGTCAATGATGAATCCACGACTTGATTGTGGATGGAGGATTTGACCTGGCATGTGTGACAGAGACCTGGTTGGAGGAAGCAGATGGGCCTGTCCTTGCCGCTGCTTGCCCACCAGGTTTCTCTTATGCACAGCAACCCAGGTCATGTGAGCGGGGAGGGGGGGTTGCAGTGATTTTTAGGAAGTCACTAGCTTGCACCAGGCGTCCTACTGGGAAGATCCAGTTCTCTGAGTGCATGTTCTGGAAGTTGGGCAATAGGGGCAGTACAGGATTCCTTTTGGTGTACCGACCTCCCCGCTGCACCAAGGATTCCCTGTCTGAGCTGCTTCAGGTCGTGGCGGATTTTCTCCTGGAGACACCTAGTTTGGTTGTCCTAGGGGATTTTAACATCCATGCCGACACGACCTTACAAGGGGCTGCTCGGGACTTCGTGGAAAGCATGGCCTCCATGGGGCTGTCCCTGAATAAGTTTGGCCCAACTCATAGTCATGGACATGCCTTAGACCTGGTGTTCACCTCTAGTGACGTAGGTGATCTGACACTAAGTAAAAGTGAAACAAAAGAAGTGCCATGGTCAGATCACTTCCTAGTGCAACTGGACTTCTCCGCGACCCTTCCCCTCTGCAGGGAGGTGGGACCAATTTGGATGGTCCGCCCCCGCCACTTAATGGATCCAAATGGTTTCCAGAGAGTGGTAGGGGATGCTTTATCCCATGTTGATGGGCTTTCAGCTGATTCCCTGGTGGCCCGCTGGAATGCGGAGTTAACCAGGGCTATCGACTGTCTGGCTCCGAAGCGCCCTTTCCGATTGCATGGAGCCCGGACAGCCCCGTGGTTTTCTTCGGAGCTGAGGGCGATGAAACAATCGCTGAGACGGCTAGAGTGTCGGTGGCAGAAAACTCACTCTGAATCTGACCGGACACAGGTTAGAGCTCAATGTCGAGCCTACCAAGTGGCGATAGCGACGGCGAAGAAGACTTTCTTCACCGCCTCTATTGCATCTGCAGAAAATAGTAGCAGGAGACTCTTTCCGGTGGTTTGCAATTTAACGGAACCACCTTTACCACTGGGGCCTTGTAAAGACCCCAAGATCTCCTGCAACGATTTTGCAAAGTTTTTTGCAGATAAAATCACTCATATTCGGAAGGAGCTAGACACCACCGTGGGAGCCCCGGACGCTGAGGTCCAGCGCCGAGGGCCTTCTGGCGGTTCCCTCATTGCGAGAAGCAAAGCTACAGGGAACCAGGCAGAGGGCCTTCTCGGTAGTGGAGCCCGCCCTGTGGAACACCCTCCCATCAAATGTCAAAGCGATAAATAACTACCTGACATTCAGAAGACATCTTAAGGCACCCCTGTTCAGGGAAGTTTTTAATCTGTGATATTTTACTGTATTTTTGGTTTCTATGGAAGCTGGCCAGAGTGGCTGGGGAAACCCAGCCATATGGGTGGGGTACAAATAATAAATTATTATTATTTATTATTATTATTATTATTATTATTAAGTAAATTTCCAAAAATCACAAATGATAAAACTGAATATTTAAACTCTCCCATAACAATTATGGAAATTTATCAAACAATTACAAAGTTGAAGGTAGGAAAATCTCCCAGACCGGACGGACTCTCAACAATTTACTATAAGAAGTTGGAAGATGTGCTTTCAGCACCACTTAAGACAGTCATGAATAAGATCCTAAAGGAGGGGATGATACCAGAGTCATGGCAAGAAGCCTTTATAACGTTGATCCCAAAGCAGGGAACAGATTTGACATCAATCAAAAACTATAGACCTATATCACTCTTGAACAATGATTATAAACTATTTGCAGATGTGATGGCAAACAGGTTAAAGAAAATATTGAAAGGCATTATAAAAAAGACCAAGCAGGGTTTCTACCGGGTAGACAAATGAGCAACAACATGAGAATGTTCTGGGTATAAGCTTTTGTGTGCATTCGCACTTCTTCAGATATACTGAAACAGAAGTCACCAGACCCTTATATATAGTGGGAGAACAAATTAGTCCTATAGGATTAATTGCAGTCTTTAACAGTCGTCAACAGGTTTACCATACCCATTGAGTCAATTATCCATAAATAACAGATAGATAACATATATTATGTAAGAGAAGTGAAATAAGGAAAACAACACAGTTAAAAAGATAAGAAATAAGAAGCCGCAATAAGGTGGAGAGGAGTCACTTGCGAAGAAGTATTGATTTATTTTGGTTTATATTCACGTATAAGTTAACTTATTTTAAAGAAAGAATGGAAAATGTATATAATTAATCAATGCAAAACTCAATAAAGAATATTAAAAAGCGAATTGTTAAGGTTGCCAAATTTCAACACCCAGTGCTGCCTCAATATGGCTGCTTGCTTCCATTGCTGAGCTCCATTGAAAACGGCTTCTCCATGCGAACCAGGAAGTGACCTCTCCAGACAACAGAACGACTCTTCTTTTCTAATCTATGTGCTTATGATTTCCTGGGTGATGTGGATGCCATTAGGCAGTTGAATGTGCATGCCTACTCCATCCGCTTCCATCCCTCCATGTGGCCCTATGCCACTGCCTCCAGG